ATACAAGTGAAACTAATATAAGCGTGTTAAAAATAAAGGTCATGCTACCAAGTACTAAGTAGGTATAGGCACAACTCTAAAAATATCATTTAAGATTACTTTTTTTATGCACTACTATAATATTGTTCCTCTTAACTTCCATGTAAAATAACGTTTATGTAATAAAACGTATACTGCCTGTGTGAACTAAATGCTTTTTTTTTATAAACATAGTAAGGAGAAAAAGTTTACATATGCAATGCAACCAGAGCCAAAACCATTTAACATTGATAACAATTGAAAAAGATTTAGAGTGTTGATACCCACTACTATTTCATTGCTTGTGGCTGTATATATATAATTATACAACTTTCATAGAATACAGGGTTACGACAAATTTTAAATATATTTGATATTATCATATACTTTTTAATATGTTTATATCTTTGAAACCGCTTAGAACATTATCATAAAAAGCTATAAACTGATAGTATAGCTATATACTAGATATAATAATGACTTGAACAACAAACGTAAAAATAAAACACATATAATATAACTAGTATTTTTTTTTTTATCAAAATCGTCCCACTGTAGTTGGTTCAATCAGAGATCGTAGAAGAACTCTTCTAAGTTCTCTGGTTATAATACAGAATAATTTTTGGCTTTTTAGTATCTTCATCANTATGTTCACTACTTTTTCATGATGCATTGAAGATACAAGGACATCTTTTTGTTTTTTTGAGGCTCAAATTCGCTGGGTATTGGTAACTGCCAACTTATCATAGTTTTGCCTTTCAGCGCGATCGTCTGGATTATCAAAACGCAAACACAGTAACAAAATTTTCTGACATGAAGAATCTAAATTATATCTGTTTCACACCCTGTGCCATCCCTAGCCAATTAGTAACTTGTGCGTTCTTGGTTAAATTTCAAAACAGCTGAATATAGCAAAAAATCCACAAAAGCTTTCAGCTCAGTTATGTCTATGTCTTTTAGTTCAGGTTTATTTTGACGAGCAAACTTTATTCTGTAACTGAAGAGCTTATTGTTTGTCCAAGTCAATATTTGTTGGAGCATTTTGTCGTCATGCTGATAGGGTCTTTAGCATCCGCGTCTGTCAATTTCGAGGCTTAAGCATGAGTTATGATATTATGTTGAAGTGTGCAAACCCTAGCATTAGGATGAGTCTTTGGAAAGAGGCCAGGCAGCATCAGGACTAATGATGCTATCTTCATCAGATCTATCAGCGCTCCTCTCATTGCTGCTATCCACTTTTGGAATATTCTCCTCTAAATCTTAATCTTGGTCACGAAACTGTAATAGATCACGATGGGAAACCAACAACTCGTCTATATCATCTTCACTGGCAGATTGGCTGAAGCCAGCAAAAGGGCATTGAATTCCTCTTCTAATGATGGACTGTCTAGTTGTAATATTTTTCTCTTTAATGAACTCGTGGGCTAGAGTTGACGTTTCTTAGCGTTTTCAACCATTTTGCACTGAAATGAAAAAAATATATTGTGACGCGGGGTCGTGGCAAATGGGGGGGAAGTGGTCAATTCTAAGAAATTGCAAAACACGCGACACCTGTGAGACTACAATTCACTAGTTAAAGGTTAAATATGTTTATGTTATTTTATTCTTGAAATAGCTTAAAATATTATATAGCTATTAAATGGTCTTGTTCTAATTGACAATTGGTAAGAATTTGTACCAAAGAAATGGTTTTGCAAACTTCAAGAATTTTCCAAAAAAAAAAAATTACATGCATAGCAACTATAATGGCTGATGCCATTTCTAACGAATGACATATGTAAATAAATAAAATCCGTAAAAATAAAGTGGTATATTCACAGCAGGCGCGCAAAAAAAACGTATATCAAAAACGGGTTTTACACATTTTTTAAATAGCATTAAATGTGTTAAAAGTATAAATTCTGCAAAAATCGCGTTCAAAAATTAGAAACGACGATGAAGTGTGCAGTGGGTAATTGTGCACAAAAATGTGTACAAAAATCACTCACATGAATGTGACCTGAATTACCTGAATTAGTATTTATTATAAAAAAAAAAATATTTAAAAATATCGCTTAATTATTTTATATTCACATTCACATACTGCACATTTTGCATGATGTAAGATCATGAAAGATCAGAAGAATACATGGGTTAATCACGTAAGCGAGAACGTGTTGGAGAAACCAACTGAAACAAGTAAGGATGGGCTAAGTTCGGGTGTAACCGAATATTTTATACCATCCCACGCTTTATTTATAATAATACAAGTATTTTTCGGTCAGTTTATATAAAAACTTATTTTTCACTTTTAAGTTTGAAGTGCTTTAAACCGTGTTTTTTAGTTTATATATATATTTATTTTTCACTTTTCAGTTTAATGTGCTTTGAAAGCATGTTTTTTAGTATTTTAAAATTTGTTATTCAAATGATAGCATAAATAGTTGATGATTTTAGCTCCATATTTTTAGGGGCATTTTTTTGCAGGATGGATAGTTCATGCTTTAAGCTGCATTGTTTTATAGTCGTGGTACGATTTCGCCCGATTTCGTAGTGTTTGATGGAATGGGTGGTTCTTGGAATATAGGATTTCACCTATACGCCACGCCCATTTACCAATTTTTGCACCTTCTCTTATAAAGCTCTTCCATCTTGTTTGTGAAATTTAATGCTTGTGGCGCATTTATTTAGTGAGTTACCGCACTTTAAGTAGTTTTCAACATAACCGTTATATGAGAGTGGGTGTAGTTATTATCTGATTTTACCCATTTTCCCTGCGTATGGAGAAGTAATCAAACTTTCTCTCAGCGAATTTGGTTATGTTAGCTTCAGCGGCAGATATATACATTAAACGATTTAGGGGGCGGGGCTACGACCACTTTAAAAAAATTTCAGCCCGTAGGTTTCCATTGGTACTCTCTTGAGTGCCAAGGAACATATGTAGCAAGTTTCATTACGATATCCTAATTTATACTGAAGTTATCGCTTGGAAAAAGATACAAACAAAAAAATATACAAATATATAGGTGCAGCTAATAAAAGAGTTATAAAAAAGTATATGCAAAAACATTTGGAAGAAGCTAATTACGTAGTATGCAGTGACAAAATTATACTTTTGATTTTAGACCTCGAATGTATTTTCTAATTAAATCGAAAAATATGTCAACAAGTAAGGAAGGGCTAAGTTCGGGTGTTGGCAAAACTTTATATTAAGAAATGTAGCGAAAAGGTTCAACTTCATTGTACGACGAAATGGTGAAGGGATTTGAAACACATTTGGTATTATATAATATAATATTAACTTATTTTGAAGGTCATAACCACCTTTAGTTTTATTACAATATTTTACGTCAACGAAAACTATAATAAAATCATGGGGGGCATTGAAATGGAAGGGCTAATTGCATTAATTTTTGATATTGCTCAGGTATATTTGAGAATTTATTTTCAAGCAATTTTATAAATATAAACATATATACATACGGAGTAAAGTTAGCCCGACGTTCAAAATCTTGAATATCAGTTATATGTGGGCTAAGGCAAGTTTCCGCCCGATTTAATTTTTTTGGCACATAGATACACTATTATTAGAAAATCACGCTCTTCGATATATGTGGTATAAAGTCAATTGGAAGTTCAAAAATCTTTATATTAGGTATATGGAGGCTAAGGGATTCAACCCATTTTTGTCAAAAGGGTATATTATAATCAAAACACGTTTTCCCCGAATTTCAATTACATATTTCACAGATTGACCGATATTTTCGGCAAAAAGTCAGCCATAGGTTGTGGGCTCCACATTTCCGGTATCTGGGGCATGAATAGTTATGGTATAGTTATATTTTATTTTTGAAGACCATGTAACCCCTTAACCTACAAGTATATTGATGCTGTCGCAAGTGGTGTCGAAAAGGTATGACTTGTGAAAATAATACCTTTTAGGGTGCGGGGCCACTCCCACTTTAAAAAAATATTTAATCCTCAGATGCCACACATTAGTGTAATTCGTTGTACCAAATTGCGGTTTTATATCTTAATTTGCAGCTTAGTTATGGCACTTTATACGTTGGCAGTGGTCCGATTACGCCCATCTACGAACTCGTCCTTACTTTTTTGCCAAGGAACATGTGTACTAAATTTCATTAAGATATCGTAATTTCAAGTTATCACTTGCACTGGCGGACGGACGGACAGACGTCACTCGGTCGTCTCATCATAAAAATCGAAATTAATTGATTATACGTTCATTGCATTTTGCATATAATATAGTTTAATGCCGAAAACATGTAAAATTAATCCATGAATGACTCAAACTCCCATAAAATTATATTCTTTATGTCGGTCATTGTATGAATTTATAAAATTGAATATATGTTCTCTTAAGTAATGTCAAAGGTTAACGTAACAAGCCTCTAATATACCCTGTATAGTGATTATCCACTTTCCAGCATTTATTGTTGGTCAAAATACTTTAAAGCGTTTATGTTGGTCAAAATATAATATGTGATGTTTTAATGGAATTAAGTGGACAAGCTTTCTTAAGAATTATGTGGTTCAGCGTTGAATATATATGGAATTGATTTCGAACTTGGTCCAAATCTGGTATCCTTAATATAATCAGTTCCGATCACCTCTTTCACGTTAAATATATTAAATTTAGAGTTTTCGGGTGAATTTGTGTCAGATATACTATATATCTTATTTGAAGCTGATTTTAATATAATTTTTGCTGAGGAGAAGTAAAATATAGTTATAAAACAAATTGAATTTAAGACCATTAATATAATATTAGTTAATAAGGTACAAATTTAATTGTCAACCATTCAGTTTCGTCGAACAATGATTGCGGAAATATTTCGTAACATTTCTCAAGGTTTTTACCCGGATTTGATCCTTGCAAGTTGCAAGAAAATTAAATGTTCCGTTACACCCGAATTTAGCCCTTCCTTACTTGTTATGAATTTTTTTATAAATCACGAATGAAATAAAACAAATAATATTTAGTGTGTAAAATATATATTTCTTTGATCCCTTAAAACATACACTTTTACTTCTATTTATTTGAAGAAAGTGAACAGAATATGGTATATTAATTATAATTTAAGGCATTTGTGAATAATTTAAGTAAATATATGTACATGAGTGAATATATTTTGAATTGAGGTGCTATTTAGGCATATAGAATTATAATTTGACTCCTTTGTAGAAATGCCTTTTAAGTCTTACTGCACTGTTAAAAGCCTATCATATGAATGAAATCTAGGTCACTAATTCATTATAAATATACATTTGAACCTTCGTTTTTCTAAATATGGGTAATTATATAGTACAATACAAATACGTTTTTAATATTTTATTAACCGTTAACATTAAGTATATCAAAGCTTAATAAATGCGTATAAAAATATTTTTTAATACAAAATCATTCATCTATATATTGTAGTATATGAATATTTAGCCAGTCAAAAGACAAAACTTTAAATGCTTAATTGAACTTGGATTTGGAGCTGTTATTACTACATTTACTAGCTTTTGCATTCCTTCATATGGAATCGATTCTATAAATCTGCTGTTTCTCGTTTGCCATGCGACCCTGTAGATGTTGCATCAGTGATATAAAGAAATAGATCTTCGGGAATTTCGCAACGGTCCAACTCGCGTCCAAGAGCAAAATAGCGTTTTCGAAGTAGATGTGCTGTTGCTTTTGGTTGACGATTGCGTGTGAAAACGCCCTTTTTATTACCGCCTACGCGTGTTATTGCTGAAATAAGAATTACAATTGAGAAAAGACCCTGCAAAAAATAAGGGATTATACTATACATTGTGCAGTTTTGAAGTCTGCAAAATTCCAAACAAATTCGCCGATAAACCAATCATTTTTTCTGAGCTTATCGAAGGCCTTAAAATGTTTCGAAAACAACTCGTTTTGGTATTCCTCCGACCAAATGTAAGCTGGAAGCAAATGTAAACCCTCGATTGTGTCGGCCCCATATTCTCCGATCATGACTGGTTTGTTATGTTTTTTATTCCATGTAATCGCTTCTTCGACAACATGCGTTGTAATCATGTCCAATTTTCCAGGATTACTGTACCATCCATTGTAACGATTAAAACATATTATATCTAAATGCTTTGCCTGAAAAGAACAATTTTACATAAAGGACTTCTATTAAGGAAGATAATACTTACAGCTCTGTCACTGGCCGAGGGAACGGCAATTGCAGCAGTTACCGGTCGAGTACTATCAAGGGATCGTGTAAAATTAGCAACGAACCTGTGCGGATACATACATACATGAGTATATCAAAAGTTTAAGGGGTAAAATTCTTACTGAAAATGTGAGTCAGCTTGGAATGGGCTTGTGCGGGGTTCATTGGCTATAGACCACATTATTACACTCGGATGGTTTCGATCGCGGTGTATTAATTGCTCCATAGAAGATTTATGTTTGTCCAATAGCGCTTGGTTATAGTTGCTGTAAAATAGTATGTGAATAAATAAAGTTGGAACAACGAAAATAGTCTGCTAGCTACGAGACATTTTAGAATACGTACTCTGTATCAACGCTGGGGCATTCATCAATTATCATAAGACCATTTTCATCTGCAAATTGCATGGATTCTTCTGAGTATGGATAGTGAGACGTTCTATAAGCATTTGCTCCAATCCATTTCAACAAGTTCATGTCACGGGTGAGTAAAGCAAAATCTAATCCTTTGCCACGTATCTGGTGATGAAAAAATTTTTTATTTAAATTGTATACAAAGTACATAAACGTTGATAGTCTCCAACTACATTTAAACCAATAGCATAGAACAATTTAAAAAAAGCAACGAAGAGCAAGGTTCGGGAGCATCTAAACATGAAACACTGCTAATATCGTAGTAACGTAAGCTTTCCCAAAACCTGTTATGCTCACCTAACTTTTTTCCTACATACATATGTATATTAATTCATCTGAAAGTACGAAATTCGTTGTATTGTATTAGGGATATGAGAGATCCTAATGCTAAGTATATATTTAATATTCTCTTATGCAAATGAGATATTTTTCTCGACATATATCTCTAGCGCCACAAGGTTCACTTTAAAAAATGTCAAGCCACACAGTCAATTTAAAGTAGATCGCTAAACTAGAAAGTTTTTTGTGTTCATAAGCATATGCAGAAAATGTAACAATCTGATAAACTTAACCATTGCATTTTGCTCAAATTATCACCGACACTTCCGATTTAGTTACTTACATCTGAATCTTCATGTTTGCCAAAGCCTCGGAAATATACTGAGCGTCCATTTATGAGGAAAGAAGTATTGTTCCAAGTAAGTGTACGAATGCCTACTTTAAGTCGGTAAACATCAAGTAGTGTGTTATCGGCAGTATACAAAAGCAATTCCATATGGTAGAGGTAACCGGGTTCGGGGTGCATTAAATATGGCCACCAGGGCTTCACTTGCTTCACTTCAAGTGCACCATTTAAATCACTATTTGATGTACCATTGGCTACAACGACACTTTCTTTATTACGTAATTGCACCCGAATTTGTAGGGCACTGTCTGCTTCATTCGAGGCCGTTCCGCTAACTTTGACTTTGTAATATACATGACCAACTTCAGATATAAACAAAATAAACATATGTATATACTTAGTCTTATGAAGTAATTTAAAAAATATACAGAGTATAAAAAATCAACCTGAATTTTCAGCTAAGTTAGAAGTCACTTCAACCTCTTCAATAAATGTTTTAGGTGTGGTGTACAGATGGACGGAGCGATGAATTCCTGCGTAGTTGAAGAAGTCAAAGCTATAAGACTGAACTATGGCAACTCCTCCATCCCTTGAAAAATATACTCAATTATATCTAGAACCGATTTCGTCTGTACACTTACTTTTTTACTTCACTGATTTTTCCCTGAGGCACTGTAGTTTGTATTAGTGCATTATCACACATAACAGTAATCCGATTTTCTTCCCCGTATTTTACGAAGCTTGTTACCTCTGCTTCGAATGGTAAGTGACCCATCTCGTGTTTAACAACCATTTCTCCATTAACCCACTAAAACAATTAGCTATTACTGTCCATAATTTCATATATTAAATATATTTAATATATGTATATTTCAGACATATGAGATAATTACTTACCACAAAGGCTTCATAATGTACACTACCGAAACGAAGCCATACCCTTTGGTCCTTTGCCCATGATCGAGGAACAAAAAATTTTCGGTCGTACCACACTGTGCCCACATGATCGCGAATAGCGTTATCTGTGGTTATATCATTGTAGCTAGCTGGCACGGGCATGGGTATGACATTCTTAACTTTACTTAAATCATCACTAAACCATTTATCTCTCACACCTTGCGTCGGATTCGCTTCGTCCGATGTGACAAAGTTCCATAGCCCATCTAAGGAACGTACATCACGAGTTTCAGACTCTCGTGGATAAAGCATGCCACGTGTAGGGGTAACTTCTTTATTAACAATAACTAGCGCTATTGCGAAGTGAATAAGATAACCAACGACACCCATGACCAGTAAAGAAAATGCTACAAATATAAAAAAAATTTCATGTGTTCATGGTTAGAGTTTTTTATTTAATTTTAATGGAGTCAATTTAGGAGATACATATAATTAATGATTTCAATAAATGACGCAAATACTCTTGCTAAATGAGTTAGAACCATAATAAGCTAAGTAAAATATTTAGACTTAGGAATTTTCGAAAAGTCGATTTTTTTGACTTAAAGTAAGTGTATTGAATTCAACTGGGCAAGTTTGTAACAAAACAAATAACATCATTTATACGACTATATAACTATTGCATTCGACCAACTTACATCATAAATACGATTGTTATATCGTAAACATGCCACGAATATTTACGTAACGTGTATGAGACGGCTTTTAGGTTGGTTTAAGGTTAGGTTTAAACAAGAACACAGACATATGCCATTTGCTATATCAACGATTTAGACCGAACCAAAGCATCATGTAATTGATTGTTATTTTTGTTTGACTTAAATGGAATGCTAGCTTATTGTTGGAGACTTAAAAAAGACCTTCCAGAGCCAAATATTCATGAAAATCATAAATATTATTTCTATATTACGCAATAATTTCTCGAATGTTTGTACTTTTTAAAAAAAATATATGTTTTGATGTCAAAAGAAAACCTGTTTTTTCATTCACATATTATTCTTTAGTACATTCAAAATATAAATAATGAGTATTCATGTGACAAAAGAAGTACATTTTGTTAACCAGTGTAACAATTGGTTTAATATTTACGAATAATATATTATTGAGACATCTTTATATAAAATGAATTGAAGGAGTATCTAGTGTTCGGTTTTCAATAACAAAAAGTGTAACAAACAATTTTTTTAAGCATTACATTAGCATTTTTATAATTACTTTAAAAAGTAGTATTCGTAATTATTTTTATCTTATCGATTATTTGACGCGATAAAAGAGCGAAATTGAATTGATAGTATTAATATATAATATATTTGCTATGGGAATATTTTCTTTCGAAGAAATTTTTTTAACATTTATTTATTTTTATTGTCATTCGTATCTTGTGTATGTCAATGCAGATTAAATCAGTATGTGCGCTTTCGCTATAAAATTCATAATTTTATATTTAATGGAATTGTAATGATTCGAATTAGTCTATTTATAACCAAATAAATATTTGCACTAATAAGTATTGTAAATTTGGGAATATCAGTATTTATTTCCAAATATAGGCTATCTATTATATTTTTATCTCTTAAGTTAATAGTATTGATTACTTACTCCATATTTAATTGAAAATATATGATGCCGGAAAAAATGGTAATCATCGCGGCACAGCAGTTTAGGAAATCGAAAATAATAAATTAAAAACAATGAAACATAAACGGAACCGTCGAGCACGAAACATAACCACAATAAAAACAACATACATATGCGACATTGCATATAATGTCGAAGAAAATGCAAATTCTCAAGTAAATAAGCAAACGAAAGAATTTCCACCGAATTAAAACAGAATTGAATTTGTTTACAATGCTCTCAATTTTCTAAATATATGATGTAGAATATAAATTTAATTTGTACCGGATTTCCACACATATTAGATTTGTTTCCGAACGGTTAACTCATGGATAAATTGATCCGAAACTCTTTGATTTGAGAGAGCGATGTCATAGTCCACATTTTTTATAACATTTGACAATGGTGCCACTAGTGAAAGAAATACGTTTTGGGATTTTCTAATGTACTTCTTGGGTATTTTTCGGTTTTCATTTTACAGAAAAATATACATAATTAAAATTTGTTTAACAAGCTAGATATCCTATATGACTTCTAAATATATGTACGTGTATATTTTAATCACAAAAGATTTTCTAAATTAACTTATTAAACTAATATTAACAAAATATTTTAATATTTCAAAACACTTACAAGTTTTAAATAAGCTGAACATGAACATTACTTAGTTGTTATATACTAAATAAACAAATATCTTTCGATAATTTATTCGGAAGTCAAAGTTTACATAATTGGTAATGCTAAGCAAAACAATACTCTGCGACAAAATACCACCTCTTTCTTAAAATCAAAACTATATTAAATCTCTTTAAATAAAATTAGAAACCCACGTCACAGTCACTAGAAAAGCTGATCTCACAAATAACCCACTGATTTCGCAATTTATTTCTGCGGGATTCTTAGTGGTAGTTCGTTGTTTTGCTTCTCATTTGTTCAGTAGCTCATGAACTCGTGGTTTTTTTTTGGCAGCACTGAAAGTTCATGAGCTCTCTCAGAAAGCAACGGCAACACACTAGAGCAGATTTCTTCATTTGAACGTTTTAGTTGTAGAATATTGGTTGGCAACCCGTACAAAGTGTGATTTTAGTAGCAGAATATTGGTTGGCAACCCGTACCAAGTGTGATTTTAGTAGTAGAATTTTCGAGGCATCCCGTACCAAGTGGGATATTTTTGCGTGTGTTTAGTGACAATCTTAGGATTGGCTACTTGTAGATTTATACAATGTTTTCTACGTCAAGTCGGAAAGTAGTGAAGAGAAGTGTTCGTAACAATTTTCATGTACTATGAATATAGTTGAAAACTTTATATCATAAAATATTGCTTATAGCAAGCAAGACTATTTTTAATAAAGCCAGTATACCTATTATGGGCTGGGGAGTGCGTCGTCTATTAACATGTTTGTTCTAAAATAATTTGCTGTTTTTTGAAAGCAACAATAATAACAACATACATATTCAGTTATACTAAATATTATATATAATAAAGACCGCGACCAATGAAATGCTTAGTGTGTCGAGTCCATTTTTAATAAGTAATTTCTTTATTTTAAAAAGACATTGTTCATCGCAGGCGCTACAGATATCATAAATGATGCATAGTTTTAGTTTTTATCTAGTATGGTTAAGGTGTGCTCCGTTGAATGGCGTCATCAGTCGTCCTTCTCTTTCGATATAGAAACAGCTGATATGAGTATTCTCCGTTGCTACAAAATATAAATAAATATAAGCTAACGGGTGTAAATAAGTTTGTTTCTAAACAGCTGTAGCTGTTAACTATTAGGAAGAAGAAGAATGCTAAAATTGACATGTTACTCTCGTAAAGCAAGAATTAGCAAGGAAACACGAGTGCTGTTTTTACTTTCAAAATTCAAAACTATTAAAATAAACAAATCCAATGCAAATTTCACGCTCTCACCTTATGCTCTCTTCTGCTAGTTGCATGACAATGTTTGTTCACACAGTGCATAGAAAGCAGAGATGCGGCGTAATCAAATACATGCAAAACCTATTAGGCAGGTTCTGTGACAGTGCTCATACATGCAGCATAGATAAATGATCCGAAACTCT